AGCAGGCGGTCTCTCAAGTACCCAGGTCCAATACCATGAAGGGCTTTATAAGTGACAACTAGCGCCCTGAAGCGTATCCGAAGACCAATAGGCAGCCAGTGCAGCTCGTGGAGGATAGGTGTATATATATGTGTGTGTGTGTGCTGATTAATAAGACTTTCCTGCAAAAAGGAACCTAAATGTTTTTCAAGGAGTACAAAGTAGGAACAAGTCGATTGTATTTTTACTTACCACATTGTGAGCTTCATCAAGTATTACTACAGCCCCTTTCAAGTCGAGGTTATGAGCTTTTCGATTCTAGGAAAGAGAACAACACAATGCTTGGTCTCAATTAGTTGCAATGCAGGTAGCACTCGGCTTATGACTATAAATGAACCCAAAATTTCTGCCACTAAGCAAGATAGTTGTTAAGTGGGTTTTGCCCCATTTTACAACATTTCCTGCCACAACTGTTAAGTGAATCAGTGCAGGTGTTAAGTTAGTAACACTGTTGTAATGCGACCCTTGCTTCCCCATTGATGTTGCTTGTCAGAAGGTCACAAGAGGTAGAGGAGCCTACGTCGCTACAAAATGGTCGCTTAATCTCGATGCTCCGAGATCGCCACCAATACTTTTACCGCTGGGTGGTCCAATCGGACCTAAACCGTCCCGTAGAGACGGTGAACAGGAAGACTACGTTCTGCTGATCACAGGGACATCGCAAAGTCCCTGATTGATGCAGGAGGTCTCTCAGCTGGCGTTAAAAGCTCACCCCCCAGGCTGATGAAGTAGGGACAGCTCCAAAACAGAAGGAAACGGAAGAGAAAGTGTTTACAGCTGGTGAGGAATTTTTATCTGTTTTAAAAGAGCCTGCTTATAAAAAAACTTAAAGCTAATTTAAATCTAAGAATAAAAGAAATAAGTGGCAGAATTAAGCTTTGGATGGTTTTTGTCAGTGTGTTATCTTGATTTTTAAACGTTATTTTAATGGATGGAATTTATGCAAACCGTTTGAAATGAATGGATCAAGTTTTCTTCTATAATTTTTACTATTATTTTCACAATCTATGGACTAAACTTCTCCTTATTTATCACTACATGACTTTTTTAACTTGGAATATTAAAAGATACAAAAAGAACAAAGAGAATTGCAACAATTGTAACAACAAAGGGAGAGATAACACTGCTACTCCAAGACTGGAAACTTGAGTACTGAAAGCAAAATACTTTTATTTTCATTACTGATTATCCTGGTCTGGAACTTTAAAGTTTCACAGTTTGTTTATAGAAAGGGGTAAGAAGTAAAGCACCATTTGTTTATACAAATGTTCTTTGAAGTATCTTTTAATATTCCAAGTTAAAAAAGTCATGTAGTGATAAATAAGGAGAAGTTTAGTCCATAGGTTGTAAAAATAATAGTAAAAATTATAGAAGAAAACTTGATCCATTCATTTCAAACGGTTTGCATAAATTCCATTCATGAAAATAACATTTAAAAATTA